GAGGTCCCTTCCAACCCCCACCATTCTGTGTATGCGAATTGCCATGGAAGTGTTTTCACCCTTTTTGCCAGCATGAGTGCAGGTGCTCACCCTCCAGAGCAGGAACAACTTGGCAGTCCCAAGCAGCCAGCCTCTCTTCTATCAGATACACCAAAAGGAAAATAAAATCACTGTTGCACCTAGCTCAACTTTTGCTCCCATCTGCCTTTTTTTCCCTAAAAAGGTAAAAACTGCAATTGTTTCAACAGCATTCCCAACACTACTGCAGGGTTATGAGATACTACCCACCACCACCTCCTGTTCATGTGCGAGAACATGAGGACAGCCACAGATTTTAGATCTGTTTATTCAGATACAAATTGAAAGCAGATGAATGGAGCACAGCCCCACTTCCTCTGCTGCCTCTTCCCCTAAATACAAGAGAGAAGAGGAGAAGCAGGCAGAAAGCAACAAATCATAATTTAGTGACAGAAGCATTGTGGTTCCCAGTTCAAACCTCTGCATAGGGACAGTTAGAGCATCAGTAGGTCAGTCATGGGGGAAAAGAGGTCATTTCTAGCCAGCTGCCACCATCCTTGGGCACAAAAGCATCAAGTGACAAGGTTCCAATCCTAAATGTACAAAACCAAGCCTTGTAAACAGGTTGGCAATCTGCAGCATGCACTAAGGAAACTACTTCAGCAACTCCTGTTGCAGTTTGCATTAAGACAGCTCTTCTCCACCATTTACCTTTCTCTGAATTCTGTGTGGAGAAGGGCCGCAGGCAGAGCTATCATCTTAAAGTAGCAAAAATTTCCAGTATAATTTGACCTTCTCAAGGCATTCTGTCTTTACAGCCCTCTTTGGGAAGATTACTTGAAATGGGGTTCTCGGGGTTGGCTCCTACAGTACCTTTGTGCAGGCTCTGCAGGGAGGGGAGCTGGCAGAAGACAAAAGGTACCGAAGCAGCTAGGAAGCTTACTCAACCTTCAGGAACATTTTCTGGTTTGGAAAGGGAATGTCTAACAGGAGTAGTTGAAGGAACTGCTGAACAACCCACCGAGGACACCTTGAAGAATTTGACAGCTCATATTTTTGGTACCGACTGGATTAATTCCCTAGACACCATGCCACACAACTGGCAGATCTCAGTTGTCTTGCTTCACTTCTCCCAGCTGTGGACTTTTATCTTTTCCTCCAGGGCTATGGAATCCAGTTCTCTGCTCAAAGCAGCTTTCCTGAAGATACTTGCTGTAGAGATTAATCCATTGTAGAAACACAATGCTTTATCAACTCACCGAGTAAGAACACACACATTTTCTCTTCTCCTTCCCTTCTTTCTGCTGTTATTTAAACTGAGATTGAGATGGTCATCCCCAGCAGCATGGGTGTCCTCCATGCTTCCCATACAGCTTTTCACTTATTGAACTACTCATAAATTTCCTTAACTTCCTTTCACAGGATGTGAGCAGGAGTACACCTGTGAGGAAGCACTGTGTACTGCAAAGCAGGAACAGGAGTTGGACTGTAGGAAGTCTGGCCACCTGCACTCCAGGGGCTTCACAGCTGGCTTGTTAGGACACATCTGCTGTTCATTTGAGTTGTGAGCTGCAGTCCAAGTTGGCCAGTGAGAAAATAAGCTGCTAAAGGAATTAACTGTACATATCATCTGCTAAATGATGGGTGGCTCTATTTAAGCTTCAGAGGGGAGTCGCCATGTAAGGATTTAGCGCTCTAACGATTTCTATGCCTCCCCCAGAAGGCCAACTGACCTGCTGATGTGACAGATAGGCTTTGAAGTCCCAAGCACCACTCCATCCACTTCCAGCAACTGCTTTCTGCTGAGAAATTCTGACTCCTCCAACCAGTAAGGCTGTAACACCCACTTGGTTCTTCATCCCAACGCAGACAATGCGCACTTCACTCCGAGGCTGCACAGAATGCCAGGATGGACAAGAGGCGGGGATGGCAGCAAGCACCTATGGAAACCAGTAGCCCCAGGCTCTCTAAGGAGCTTCCCTCCCCCCCTTCTCCCCCACACATAACACAAAGTTGCAGAGTCAGTTTCCTGTTTGTTTTCAAAGGGACAGGATTTCGAAGTCTTCATCTTCTGAGTCAAAGAACCTTTCCAATCTGTCAGCGTCAGAGGAGTCTGCAAGAGAAAAAGAAAGCATTGACTGCTTAGCAGCAGCCAGACCAGCAGCTGAGGACAGTACAATTTGAGTGTCAAGTACCCACAAGTCCCAAGAGCCTCAGTGACGTACCTGAGTGAAGGCTCTGAGGAGGGACACGAACATTTCAGTGGCATGGGAAAATGTATGGGAGAGAATTCTATGGTGCGCAGAAGGTGCACCACATTTCCCAGATCCCAGACACAGCCCTGCCACAGTGCAACTCTGCACTGCAACTGTTCTGTACAACCTTTCTGTGCAGCACAGCTCTGTGTTAGCAGGAGATCACTCTGCCTCAAGAGGCTCAAAACAGAAGAACTTCTCCAGGTCTGGACTAATATCCATGAAGATTTCAGGCCCAATTAAGTGATGAGGAACATTTTTTTTCCCCCATGTATTAAAAACTTGTTTTCTGCTATAGCTGCCTTTGATGCAACTACTAGGGATTATAATTACATAACATGCACTTTCCCAAAAGCAATTAGTACAGTCCATTTTGTGAGGAAAGGTAATGTACTTCATCCCTCCTGTCCATCCTTCCAACTCTAGGGTGAGGAAGGAGCACGTACCTAAAGGGGAAACAACTTTACCACTGGTGAGAACATATGGGCAAACTGGGGAAGTAAAGGAGAAACTTGCATTAACTCAGGCTTCAAGAAAGCACTCACTGGACTTGCAGAACAGCCAAACTAAAGCTAAACAAGGACTTGTCAGTGTTGTGTTAATGATTAGACTCTATGATCTTAAAGGTCTTTTCCAATCAAGGCAATTCTGTGATTCTGTGAACTGATGGTTGGGGACAGAGAAGTGCAAAGCTGTAGACCTGCTCAAATATTTTGTGACAGATTAATCCCCCAGTAGCCTGTGGAAATGCCTAGTGTCACTGGTTTTGATCGAACTGCAGTGCCCATCAGTGCTGGCAGCACAACTTCCAGAGATGTTCCTCAGAGGAACAGTCCCTTTCACTTAAGTAACAGGAGAGAGAACCCAACCGGTTGGGGAAAATAAGGACAAGGGGCTGGATAGTTGTGAAAGTACAATTACTCCTTCTAGTGACAGAAACAGAATGGCCATAGCAGATGGGAGAGGCTCTACAAGGTTGGGAAGAAGGAGAAGGACAAGTAGCTCATTACAAAAACATTTTTAAGAGTAAGAAAGGCAGCGATCAGGGACAATGTAATACAGGCAAGGATCACTTTCTTACAGAAAAGGACAGTGAGATAAGGAAGACTTTGAAGGTTCATGCTAAGGGGGAGAGATAGCAAGGAAGCACACTGTGCAGGATGGAAGTGACAAGACACAGTCCAATGTCTGGTGACAGGGTTTGTCCACACACACTCACTCCTCTTGGCAGAAGCTGTCAATGGCTCTTTATCTCCTGCAATGTTTGTGCACACTATTAACATGATAAGCAGAGCCTGACAGCCAAGATACTGCCCAGCACTTGGTCCTTTTTGCACTGGTAGTGGCACGTGCACAGGGAAGGAGTGCCTTACACTGCAATTAAGTTGGATCAGCCCTGACTTTGACCATTTTCATTACCTAGAAACACAGTTTTACGCCTTTAAAATGGCCCCTTGGGATTCCTCCAAGCATCCCTTTACAAAAGATAGATTCACATAGCTGTGATGGCCTATGAACATTTTTCTTCCCCTCAGTCATCAACACACTTCATAGACTCATTCTGTGAAACACTAGCTGTAAGCTAAAGAACTAGATTAACTGACCCAAGAGCTCCAGATCAAACTCCAGGTGGAACAGGCACATAAGAAGTGACAAAATCGCAGCATTGCCTGGATTGGACAAGACCTTTAAGATTATCAAGTCCAATCATTAACCCAACACTGACAAGTCCCCGACTAACCCATGTCCCTCAGCACTATGTCTACACGACTCTTCAATCCCTCCAGGGATGGGGACTCCACCACTGCTCTGGGCACCCCCTGCCAATGCCTCTGAACCCTTTCTGCAAAGAAATTCTTCCTCACATCCAATCTCAACTGCCCTTGGTGCAACTTGAGGCCATTTCCTCTTGTCCTGTCACTTGGTCCTTGGTTGAACAGACCCACACCCACCTCTCTAAACCCTCCTTTCAGGGAGCTGGAGAGAGCCAAAAGGTCTCCCCTCAGCCTCCTTTTCTCCAGGATCAACAACCCCAGTTCCCTCAGCTGTGAGCTCATCACACTTGTGCTCCAGACCCTTCCCCAGCTCCGTTGCCCTTCTCTGGACACGCTCCAGCACCTCCATGTCCTTCTTGGAGTCAGGGGCCCAACGCTGAACCCAGCACTTGAGGCGCTGCCTCACCAGTGCCCAGCACAGGGGGCAGAGAACTTCCCTGGTCCTACTGGCCACACTAATGCAACTCCACACAATTTCTAGAATTTGGTCACCATGTAATTCCACACAATTTCTAGAAAACCACAGGGACTGGCTCACCCTTAGCTCTACCTCCTTGCAGGGCCTCACCTGGTGTGAGATTCAGGACATCGGGGTTGGAGAAATGTGACGGCTGGCGTTCGACCAGTTCAAACATTGGCAGCGCTCCTCTTACCATGGACAGCTGTGGAGCAAGAGCAGAGCCGTGAGAACCAACAACCCTGTACTCATGGTGCTCTGGGTCTTTAAGGGGTAGTAATGATATGTTGGGACTGCACTGCTGCTAAAAAAAAAGTTTCTCAGATCTTTGACTCACATCAGCAGAATGTCAGAGCTATGCTCTTTTTGGTAGTTTAATAAACTATTTCAATATGCTTTCAAACGGGATCATGCTGCTGAGAACATCCTCTCTGTGCAGCGGTTTGGAAACAAGACAATGCCCTACATTCCTTTCCCAGTGATAGAAATACAAACCTTTTTGATTTGCTGGCACCAATCATTAAAGTCCTCCTCTGTGTTGCAGAAAAAGCCCTGAAAAAAAAAAATCTTTATATATTGTAGATTGATTATTTCTGTCTTAAGGCCTTGTATTAATACCAAGCAACACGACACATGACCAGGTCTGTGAGCAGTTACACCACCCAACTGCCTTGCTTTTAAACTGTAGCTTACACTGCCCTGTTCATAGAATCATTGCATGGTTTGGGTTGGAAGGGACCTTAAAGCTCATCCAGTTCCAACCCCCCTGCCATCAGCAGGGACACCTTCCACTAGACCAGGTTGCTCAAAGCCTCATCCAACCTGGCCTTCAACACTTCCAGGGAGGAGCAGCCACAGCTTCTCTGGGCAACCTGGGCCAGTGTCTCACCACCCTCACACCAAACAATTTCTTCCTCAGATCTGATCTCCATCTCCCCTCTGCCAGTTTCAAGCCATCACCCCTTGTTCTGTCCCTCCCTGCCCTTGTCACAAGTCCCTCCCCAGCCTTCCTGGAGCCCCTTCAGGTACTGGAAGGCTGCTGGAAGGTCTCCCCAGAGCCTTCTCTTCTCCAGGCTGAACAGCCCCAACTCTGAATAAACTGAACACTCCCCATACACCTGATGTGATGAGACTATCCGAGTGCTGGAAGCATCGGTGTAATGGTCTGCACTACTGCAGAAAGAAACAACCCACATGCAATCAAAGGTCAGGCATCTTGGATTCAACAGAAAACAAGCCACCCTGAATCATAACACGGATTCAGGAATATGGAATGAGGCCTCACCTGGAGTACTTGAGGGCTCACCTGGAGTCCTATGTCCAGTTCTGGGCTCCCCATTTCAAGAAGAACTACTGGAGAGAGTCCAGCACAGGGCCACCAAGATGACGAGGGGACTGGAGCAACTACCATATGAGGAAAGGCTGAGAGACCTGGGTCTGTTTAGCCTGGAGAAGAGGAGGTTCAGGAGGGATCTCAGCCCTCCTCAGGAAGGACAGGAAGGGGAGACAAGGAGGGGGTGTTGCCCTCTATGTCAACAACCAGCTGGAGTGTATGGAGCTCCACCTGGAGACAGATGAAGAGCTGAGTGTCTATGGGTCAGGATTAAAGGGAAGGCAGG